AAAAAACATTATTTTTGTAACTTTGAAGACAAACTACAAAATAATATTATTATATGATTCATATTGCACTAAAAAAGAGATCAATAATCAACTGCGGGGTGCAGGCTCGGAGATGTTCGCAGACCCATCAAGAAATATCCAAATAATTACTGATGACACGGGTTCAACTATTTTAAAATCGGAGATATTACGTGACCAGATAACATACCCATATTACCCATCGAGATTCTCAAGCTATTGGAGGAAGTACTTGACCAATTCTTCAACAACATTTACGAAACTGGCATTCTTCCACATGACTGGCTAAAGTCTACGTTCATTACAATACTCAAAAAACAAAATGCAACAAAATATGGAGAGTACCAGATGATGAGTCTAATGAGAGATGTCCTAACAGTGTTCTTAAACATCATACAGAACAGAATAAGAGTAAAGTGTGACGAACAACTGGGAGACAGCCAATTCGGATTTCATTCTGGTGTAGGCACCCGTGAAGCTTTATTCGCCCTCAACGATCTCAGAATCTCCATCTCTTCAAAAATGCAGAGAAATGCAAACGGACGTGCTGATAATATGTTTTATCGACTACGAAAATGCACTTCATTTAGTTAAGCATCAGGCGGGGGTAGTGGAGGGAGGCGTGAAAATGGGTGGATGCAGGCTGTGTTCGGTTCGGATACATTTAATGCCTCAATATTAATTATTTTTGTAAGAGTGTTTGAAAAAAATTTGATTAAAACCAAATAGTAATTGTTACTTAATAATGGGAAAACCGGAGCTGAGCTCCGGTTTTGGCTCTCAAAACCGGTTTTCAATAATCGTAAAATTTTGGCCGATTTCCGGTTTTGCGCAAAACCGGAAAACCGGTTTTACATGCCCTAGTCACTAACCCTTTAAACAAATACAAATAAATTAAAATTTCCCTTGTCCAATAATAAGGTACGTGAGTAAGCCAAAAAACATTGTATGTTTTTATAATAATAACTATCGTGAGACATAGATACTAAATTAACTAAAAATCGCGGGTTACTCACGTGAAAGTTTAGTTTAGTTTCGAACCACAGAGGGGCGTGCGCGAGCAGCGTGCGCGGTCGAAGCGATGTCATGCAGCCTTCCTCATGAGGAAGAGCCCCTCTGTGACTCGAAACTAGTAGAGCTTTTGTTTTATTTTTACGTGAGTTAATAGCGATTTTTACATAATAATTAGTTTAGTAGGTTTTTTTTATTTGATGGGCCGATGTTTGACCACTGTCTCGCCTGGTGGTAAGCGGTGTTTCACGAAAGTTATAATATAAATACAAATAGCTTTATACTTTCTTACTAAATTCCTTATGACTTAGGTGATTTGTTTAATGCAAAAGTCAAGCAGAACAATATCAAAATTACTTCTACTAACCAGAGGGCTTACTCTTGAATCCAATTCCGATCGATCGACATTGGTATTGTGAAATTTCGTACTCTTGAGTTGCAACACTAGCGCCCATTGCATCCGTATTGCGTGGATATTGAATTAACTGAACGATATTGAGTTTGGCTTTATACTCCGTAGTCTAAATGCTATTGTAACAGCTATGATTGTGGTTGTATAGTGTTGACATTGAATAATTATTGATATTTTATTGGATTAAAATTGCATTGACATTGAGATTGGTTTCAAGAGTAAGCACCCTGGTATCCTTAACAAATCACAAATGTAACCCGACTTCTATTTATATATAGAACGTTCCACGTGGGTCATCGAAGTGAAACAGGAATAGAAGCGTATCGGAAATTGCAGTGCCCGATGTACTGAACCAAACCAAATGTACACTGCTTCACATCGAGCTATAGACCAGTTTATCATAGTCTCGCTTTCTATAATCTTTCCGCACATTTGTCGATCATTTTATACTGGTTTTTTTAAAGGGGGAAAATCATCGAATGACTTCTCCCGCCCGGGTGAGGCGAGAGGGAGTGTCAGACTCTTACTAACTAAAAACCACCCCGTTCCTACTCCTGCACTTCGAGCTGGAGGCTCGGTAACCCGTTAGGTTCTCCGCAGTAAATACTGGTTATGTTTTTCTTGATTCGTAGTTGTGTATCCTTTTTTATTGAGAGTGGCTTCAATGGCTTCTCCCGCCCGGGCGAGGCGAGGAGTGCCAGACTCTTACTAACTAAAAACCACCCCGTTCCTACTTCTGCACGTGCCGGAGCCCTGGCAAGCCGTGTATCCTTGGAGACGAGTATTCATGCAGATTTGAACAAACGAACCTACTTAGAGTTAGACCTACCTGACCTGCGTAAAGGCAATGCATGTGTTTTTAGTATTTGTAAAGGTATGAATGTATGTATGTATGTAAATTGCTAAGTAAAATGAGTACCTAGGTTATTAAGAGCTGAAGATCGAGCTTAATGCTGAGGTGGGTCCTTATTTCCATATCAAAGGGCTTAATACAAGTTTGCTTTATGTTTAACGATATCGAAATGTTACCGCGTTCGACGCTCTGATTGGTTGGTTCATTGGAGCTGACCAATCAGAGCGCTGAACGTCATAAACCGTCCGATGAACGCGCCGCTAGCGAACATCGCTTTTTTTATTTTAACTTGACCTTTTAATAGTTTTATTACACACCTACCAACATTCATAATTCCCCCTTGACCAAACACCCAAAGTTGATCAACCACAAAGTTTCTATAAATAACCCAACATTGCACGTGCGGTTAACTGAAACCAAAATTGAATATCCAGACAATACTCCCACGAGAAATGTAATGGACTATGGACCTCTTCCAAATAAGTGGTTTATCACTTTGTCATAACTTAAATAGGTATTTGGCAGGCGTTTTGGAAATCGCGGTTTGAAAGGTTCAGGTTTAGCAAAGATCGCTGCTGTCTACATATTCTGTCAAATAATCTTATACTCTTTTTTTTTTATTTTAATTCGGGTAACCAACAGCTATATAATAAATAATAAAATTTCAGAATATGCTAATACAAAGCCAATTATAGGTTTCCACGCGTAGCTATAGTATATCTTTACAGAGGTTTTGCGAATGCAATGCACATAAAAGTATAAAACATGGATAGTCATTCAAAAAATTTTAGGTTTAGTCGCCTACGCACCCTGGAACTGCTTGTGGTAAATGGATCAAGTCCTAAATCCTTGCACAATCTATTATAATCCCTACTCACTCGCACAATATAGGAATTTTGTCTATAATTTGAGGAAGAAGTTGGGACAGCAATTGGTGGGTTAAATCGAACCGACTTTTTCGGAACATTAAATGACAGCTTATGCAAAAGGTCTGAGCAATCGATTTCGCTATTCAGTATCTTGGCAAAATAAGTGCAATCCGCTATTCGACGGCGATTTATAAGTGGGTGTTTTTTTGTTTGTTTGTTTGAACGCGCTAATCTCCGTAACTACAAGTCTGATTTGTTTTTGTGTTGGATAGCGCATTTATCGAGAATGGCTATAGGCTATAAAATATCACGCTAAGATTAATAGGCGCCGAGCAGAGCGAGTGAAACCGCGCAGAAGTGGCTAGTTATTTCATAAATTACGTTTAAAAAACCGACTTTTTATCCTCGTTTCTCCAATCCTTTTTTGAACTCGGTTTGTTAATAGGTACCTATACTAAGACCTCGCGTAAAAAACGCTTTTCTGAAAAACTCATCAAAATCGGTTGCGCCAATCGCGAGATAATCGCACACAAACAAACAAACATATATACATACACACAGGTCAAATTGAGAACTTCCTTTTTTTGAAATCCCTTAAATACTCTTTACCTGCTACCGTAATGCCTAATAGTATAAAAAAATATTATAAGTTCCAAATTTCACTTGCAATCGAACCTTATAGAGTTGTTGGGTAAAGAACAAGTAGGTAGTTAAGTACTGTTCTGTTATGCATATAAAATTGGTGCCTAAGGATCATAAATTAAAATTTACGATAAAAATTTAGACCATTATGAGCGCCCGAGCTCGTTTCGCTCAATACCTACTTCTCATACAGGCTTCGTGAGCTGAATTAATTGTGATCCATAAATCTTCATATCCCGCTCCCTTTGTACTTAGGCTTTGGTCGCGGATGACGTTGCATTCCAGCAAAATTGACTTATTTACTTTTTAGCAAAAAGTTGGCAATTACTTTATTTAGCACATTTTTTCTCTTGTGGTCCTGGGGATCGAACTCAACGTTTAGTGTTCGCGCTCATAATTATCATAGTCGGAATACGTCCACTGCTGCTCAAAGGCCACAACTAGAAGGCTACAAGGTAACAGTATCGTCAATTCAACATTTCTACATTAAAACTGAAATATTAATTAAGTATTTCTAAAATCATTATCAAACGAAAAACATTCCCTCAAACAGAAACGTTTAGTTCCACGCAGTGTTTTGACTTTTGATTTTGACAACAATTGGCTGACACTGACAGAAGTGACAGATAGTCATGTAATCATACCTAACTGTTGTTATTATTTTTATTAATATTCCCCAAAAGCGAGTATATCTTTAGAATGCCATAATAAATACAACTTATAGTTGTATCTCTTATTAAGCTTGAAGCATGAATTTTAATAAGTAAGCATTTCTTTTAGTTTTTACTATCAGTTCTAAATAAATAATAGGATTTGCATGAAAATGAACAACGCAATCGACGGCGTCGATTCGATTGTTACAAAAGCAACAACTCGATAATAAAATGAAAACCGTTCCGTTCCTCGTGAGAAATGGCATACCGAATCATTTAGGTTGGTAGGTACTTGCTAACTCTTGAACACTTTTTTGTATGTTGTCAAAATAAGTAGCATAACCAAACATCAGCTGATACTACATGGAAGATTGATTACTGATTATCGAATTAAATTCAAGTTTTGAACCAATTAAAATATCGTGAGTTTCGTTATCAGTTTGACTTCTGACTTGACGATCCCTTGCATTAATACTGTCATGTCACATTAGGCTAAGTTTACTGTTTCTCGTTTATCACTGCTCCTATCATTTAGTTTTATAATGTTTAGGTTGGGGCAATCGTTGTGCACAGCTGCGCGGAGCCAGTGCGGTGTGGTCGAGTTAAAGCATTTAAATCACGTATTTAAAAATACAAGTCGTGCTAGTAGTAACACAATGGCTGAAAAATTCAAATTACCTGCGAGGTATGGAGCGGGCGAAAAAAGTGTTTGGTGAGTTGAATTCAAGAAATATTTTTGTTATTTTACCTTACGATTGTGTCGCAGATTTAAGCATTTTGTTATCATAGTTTGTGTAAGTGGTTTTTGTTATGTAAGCAGCATTAGATTGTTGTAATTAGCCTATCATGTACTTCTGTTTAACTAGACCATAATTTATGATTCTACATAATGGATACTTGTAATAAATTGCTCTTCCATGTAGCAACACTATATCAACAATTACAGTACTTCTACTATCATAATTATTATAGGAATTAGTAATTAAGTATTTAAATGTGACATATTATCTAAATTGTTGAGCATTGAACACATAAAATGTTATAAAAGAACTGGGTAAATACATTAATATTATCTGAGCAATTGTTGCCTGAATTAAGTGCTCATGTATATTTATTAATTCATTTTTTATTACATATTTATTAAGTCTTCTTCTCAGCCTAGGTACTTCTGTAGATATTATTCTTCTCCATTGAATTCTACACTTTGAAACAATTGACAGACTATTCTATATCATTTATGACATTTCAAAAGTACCCGTGTATGTTGTTTAGCTAAAATAAATGCTTTTTGACTTTACTTAGTTGAGGAGGCGGCAAATAATAATCTGCCTCAATAATAATGTTACTAGTTCTAAATGTACATAGTTTTCAGGGTTGAATACATACAACTGGCAGCTGAATACAAGCCTGCAGTAAACTTGGGCCAGGGTTTCCCTGACTACCATGCACCTGAACATGTCACGAAGGCTTTGAGTGAAATCGCAACCGGTGACAATGCCTTGTTAAATCAATACACTAGAGGATTTGTGAGTTTATAATATTAAATAATAACTATATTTAATGAAAAATTGTAATTTAAATACTTAAATAGATACCTATATCATAACATGAAATAGATTTGTTTAAAGTTAATTTGGTATGAATCTCAATTATTTTGTAACTGCAGAAGACTATTACCCTATTCTTTCTACTACAATTTGTAGAATTTTGTAGGAATACAGGTTAATAGCAGTAAATTTAACCTGTGAAGTGTCGGTGTATGTTTTCTATTGTGTCTCGTATATCGACAGACAAGAGATTAATTGATTTACAAAATCACATCATTTAAGAAAACAAAGGCAAAGTCGTAAACACTTTCATTAACTTCTTACTTCTTTAATTAATGTACTGGTATGCCGAACATAGATTTACATGATACTATACCGGCCGTCAAGAGGTTAAGGAAAAAAATGTATCTGAACTTTAACTTTTATCTGTTTTTATTTCCAGGGCCACCCTCGACTTGTGCAGAGTTTAAGCAAGTTGTACTCTCCGTTAGTAGGACAGAAAATAGACCCGTTCAATGAGATCCTTGTCACATACGGTGCTTATGAAGCACTATATTCTGCCATTTTAGGTAAGTGTATTAGGTAGTACTAATTTTATTAATTCAGAGAAAATTGTGCCATATTCTGTAAGGAATTGAATTCAATGTGAAATGTCTAGTGTATCTAGGCATAATTAGAGGAACACAATAAGTTTATCAAAAACTGACTATGTATGCACATTAAGCTATGCCCCAACCAGTATTAACTGGCCGTTGAAAGTGCGAAAAAATCACTTAAAGCTAGTTCATGATGAATTGGTATTGTATGGCTTGATGTGTGTAAAGTACTGAAATCAGTCAATGACTGTAGTATCTTAATTTTATCTCTTATATGTTCACGACACGCGTAAAAATATGTGTTATGAACTCCCTGTATAAATAGTTATCAGATATAACGCGTCACTACATTTGTAGGTAAATTAAAATTGATCCAAAATTAAATAATTATATTTTATAAGGCAATTCACTTGGTGTCTTATCAGAGACCTTAAACTCTTCTGTCACTTAATAATATAATATGTAAAAGATAACGAGTTTGTAACAATAAGTTATAGAAAGTAATAATGGCTTTGGTTGTTAAAACTCTAGTAAGAAATCGTACCATAAAAAAGCAGTTGTAATTTGAAAAAAGAAATGACAAATACTTTATCGTTTACAATATTATTATGAAAAGACAGTCCCTTAGTTTTACGATAACCATGAGAAGAATTAGGGAGGTGACAATAGGGTAGATGACTAATTTTTATTTTAATGTCTGTCTGGTAGATTATTTTAAAACATTGACACGTGACTTTATACTTAAAAATGACGTAGCTAGCTCCCACTCCTAAACTTTAATCATATTATCTAAGTATTGTTATCTTATACGACAAAATAGAATGTGTTTAACATTTTTTCTTTACGTAACTGTAATAATAAGATTTTTAATTTTCATACCCTGTCATCATTCCTATTATGTATTCTCTATTGTCACCACTGTGACCACAAGGCACTCAACTATACCGAAAGTGCGGACAACCTAATGGGTTCCCGGGACTCCAGCTCAGAGCAAGAGTAAGAACGGGGTGGTTTTTAATCAGTACAAGTATGATACTCCCTCTCGCCTCGCCTAGGACGGGCGAAGTCATTGAATGATTTCCCCCTTAAAAAAGGGCATTTATACAATTCAATGACGTCACAAAAAGTAGATTAAAATAATAGTTGTGAAATATTTAAAATTTCATCATCTTACATTTGATGATTTGACCCATCACTCCACCATGATAAAGTGAAGACCATACTTTGTAATCTTATGTGCACCATGCCCCCTGACACGGAGATAGATGGCTGATAAAAATCACCATAGTGGGCCATTAAAATAATCATAATTTACGTCATACATTCATAATTATTTTATTATCTACATTATACAGCACAATTTTACGTGCTTAAGTTGATGAGTCTTGTTTGTCTCTGCCAACCCCTATGGGATAATGGTGTGAATTCGTCTAATCCGGATTGATCATCAGATTTTCGACTTTAAGTCCATATTGTAAAGTTGAAGTTGTAATAGAGCAATTTTACCGAAAAGGGCAGGTTGACCTGCTAGGGCCACTGTACCTACTTTGGCGTGTTGCCTTTAAATTGTACTATATATATTGTATCAATATAATGTTTTGCAAACTAAGTGTGGGAGAGCCATGCTTCGGCACGAATGGGCCGGCTCGACCGGAGTGATACCACGGCCTCACAGAAAACCGACGTGAAGCAACGCTTGCGTTGTGTTTCGTCGTTTGAGTGAGGTTACCGGAGGTCTAATTACCCTCCCCTTCCCAATTCCTGAATCCCCAACGATCCTCAAACTCCTTATCCCCAAAAGGCCGGTAACGCACTTGTAACGCCTCTTTACGTTTGCCTGTTTACCGGCTTATGCCATAAAAAAATAATAACAATACCATGCACAAGCTACGGTTCTAATACGATAACTAACGAAAACAGATGAAAAAAAATATAATTAGGGTAAAATCGCCTGTTTGCATCCACCCAAACAATTCATCTGACACAAACTGGTGGGTGGACGCGAACAAGCGAAGTTACCCTATTTAGTTTTTTATTTAATCTCAGCTCTCTATGGACCTGCATTGCCTTTGTTGAACATTTCCTGTGTACTTTCAGGACATGTGGACCAATGTGACGAGGTGATAGTAATAGAACCTTTCTTCGACTGCTATGACTTCATGATCAAAGCTGCGGGAGGCGTTCCCAGGTTCATAGCGCTTAATCCCGTGAGTATACCTTTATTTGCCATTTAAAAACAAAATAAAACAATCAGCCGAACATAAACCCAGTAATACTTTGCCCGACTCGGAAATCGAACTCGATCAACGAGGCAATAATAAAATTAACTTTTTTCAAATATTCTCTTCAGAAAAAAACATCAGGCACAATAACTTCAGCAGACTGGGTGTTAAATGAGGAGGAATTGAAAAGTCTCTTCAACGAACGTACGAAGATGATCATCCTGAACACCCCCCACAATCCTATTGGCAAGGTGTTCACCAAGCAGGAGTTGGAGCTGATCGCAGACCTGTGCAAGCAGTACAATGTATTGTGCTTGTCCGATGAGGTCTATGAATGGATGGCCTATGAACCTGCTCAGCATATTAGAATCGGTAAGTGCAAAAAAGGTTTTTGTTTAGGTAATGAGGCAAATGACAGACAGATCACCTAATGGTAAGCGGTCAGCGCCGCCGACGGACACCCTCAACACCATTCACAGGTGCGTTGCCGATCTTTTAAAATGGAATACGCTCTTTTCTTGAAGGTTTGAAGGTCGTATCGGTTCGGAAATACCGCCGACGACAGATCATTCCACAGTTTAGCTGTGCGAGGCAGAAAGTTCCGAGAAAAGCGCACAGTTAAAATAATCGTTATATTTAATGCTTCTACTCTTTTGGCAAACTAAAACAAGTATAGATAGATACACGTAGACATCTCATTCACTTTTCTAAGAAAATCTAAATAAAAAAAGTCGCTATATAAGTAAGGTTGATACCATGTTTATAAAGTTCCTAACTGCTCTTTTTAAACTTTAAAGTAGTGTTACCTATCCGTCTATGCTCAATATTTAGATTTTTAGACGAACACTAATTGAAACTTTAGCTCTAGAGAAATAACGACTATATTTGAATATTTAAGTAATACCTGAATGCTTTCTCTTGCAGCTTCACTCCCGGGTATGTGGGAGCGTACCATCACGGTGGGGTCTGCGGGCAAGGCGTTCTCAGTGACCGGCTGGAAGACTGGCTGGGCGTATGGCCCCGCCGCACTTATGAAGAATCTGCAGGTCGTGCACCAGAACTGTGTCTACACCTGCTGTACTCCTATACAGGTGATTATGGCCATCCCTTATCCTCTCGCCAAGTGTATAATTTTGAAGTGTAAGAACCAGTGCAGGCTTTGCCAGAGTGGTTCACGGCCTCACAAAAACCGGCGTCAAACAACGTTACGCTGTGTTCTATAGTGTTCAAGTTACCGGAGTTCCGGATGACAACGTTCAACGCTCTTGTTTTGATCAAGAGTCACTTGATATAGTACATCGTACGAAAATTCCACATTTTTCTTATGGAATAAGCCGGTAAACGAGCAGACGGATCATCTGATGGTAAGCAATCGACGTCGCCCATGGGCACCTGGAATACCAGAGGCATTACAAGTGCGTTACCGGCCTTTTGGGGAATTAGGAGTTTGAGGATCGTTGGGGATTAAGGAATTGGGGAAATTGGGGAAGGGGAGAGTAATTGGGTCACTCACACGACGAAACACAACGCAAGCTTATTCATACAAAAGTAGTATCTGATCATCGGAAATAAGGTCTATAATGGAGTAAGTGGAGAACGGTCACCGGTGACCGCTTGGGGACTCGGCAGTAGGTGATCTAATGTTGTAGATGTCTATGAGTAATGCCGATTGCTTACCATCAGTGATAGGTCTGCCTCATTTGCTGGCTCTACCCCTATTATAAAATCGCTCTGTCGGTTCTTACCACAGGAAAAATAGAGATGGCAATAAATATCTACTCTCTGTCTTGCTCTTTCTATCTCTATCTCTACCCACACCGATACCAAAATGGAAATCGGAAAGATCTATTAATCTCTATCTCCATAATTATAATAGGAAGCGATAGCCCGCTCCATGGAGTTCGAGCTGGCCCGCTTTGATTCCCCCGACTGCTACTTCAAGGCGTTGGCTCGGGAGCTGATGCCCAAGCGGGACCTGCTGGTAGAAACCCTCAGAGAGAACGGCTTCAAGCCCACCGTACCAGAGTCTGGATACTTCATCGTCGCTGATTGGACTAAATTGGGTAAGTCTAAGACTAGCCACCATACGATTGTCTCCGCATTCACTAAAAAACTTGAGATGACTCATTTTTATTTTAATGTCCGTCTGGTAGATTATTTTCAAACATTACACGCGTATTTTTTATTTTCTTACGAAAACAAATACTTACTACGATAATTAAATGCACGGTTGACGCGGTGGCTGGGCAACTGGCTGCCGCGCAACGTGTAGCTGGTTTGATTCTCGCACGGAGCAGCTCTTTGTGTAATCCACAAATTGTTGTTTCGGCTCTGGATGATGAGTGTATGTGAACTTGTATGCTTGTAAACGCGCGCACAACATAGAAGAAAATCGTAGTGTTTTTTTAAATACTGGTTTGAAATATCGCGTGACGTCTCTTCTATACTCCGTCTGTTTAGGTAGTTAACTATTTGTAAACAAACCATAAAAAGAGTTCTTTATAGTTGACATTTCCATGTTTCAAAATATTTTATAAGAAAATAAAATTGTTTCCCTTTTTACGACAGTTTTCTCTATGAAATGTTATGTTTCTGTTCCTTTTCACTTGTTTCTTAGTAAATATTATATATATCTGCTTGAGGATATTAATTTAATAACATTTATTAAACTGTCAAACACCAAGCGGTCACCGGTGACCGCAACCTATTGTTCTTTAATTGTGTCTGTAAATACGGTACTCGACGAGTTAAATAATTTAATATTTTATTACAATAGACACCATAAAGAGCCTAAAATCCCAGGTATCCAAAACGTTTCTTTAAGAACGAAGCAAAATAATGTTGTCAAATTAAAGAGTACAACTAAGATGTAGCGCGACAATGAAAGTAGCGTGTATTACGTTTAGTCGGTTAATCAGGCGCCATTGACATGACAGCTCTCTCGTCGTTTGCGCTCGCGTTCCTATTTTGTTGAATTTATCTTGTTTCTTTGTTTTGTTTTTGTTATTAAGTTATTTAAGATTAGGTTATTCATCGTTTGTAATTAATGTGTTCAAATATATTGAAGAAACTTGGCCCAAAGACACATATCCGTACAAGAAAGAAATCCGTTCATCAGATTCAGAATAGTTTCTATTTAAACATGATAATGAAATATACCCATAGGCAAGGCTCTTGTACAATTTAGGCATTTGTACTTGTATGTGTGTGTATGACAAATGAACGATTTTCAAGTGAATTTAGTTAAAATTAAAACACGAGAAATATTTGAAGTAATAGTAGGTTAAGTATCTCTGTGTCACGTGGTTTTCTTTGTTTACCTTTTGTTAATTACCTAAACAGATGGACTATAGGTACCTTTTATACCTAAAAATGACGTATTGCCGTTTTAGCTCCCACTCCTAAACTTTGGTTCGTATTATCAAGTAGGTACCTATTGTTTTCTTATACGACAAAATAAAAAACAATGTTGTGTAATACTTTTTCATTACCTGACGGACTAAATAGATTTTGAATTGTCCTACTCTGTCATCATCCCTACCATTGTGTTCACGATCAGGACCCATGGAAAGTGACCTATTTCTAGTAGTTAACCACTAACTACTAAGCTGTACAATGCCTTTAGCCAAACGCCACTTTAGCGCTTGTCTACATAGAGAGTAGAAAACTAAATGTATGGAGATGACACTGACAAGTGTCATAATTTACGTCAATTCCATATAATTTGGTTTTCTACTCTACAAGTAAACAAGCGCTAAATGGCATTTGGCTACAGCTGCTGGAATCGCTAGCAAAAGCCTGTTGCGCATACATTTCATTTCTGATCTTCTCCATTGCTCATAAACATGTTTTTTCACAGCAAACAAAATAGATCTTTCACAAGAGCCGGACAAGTACAAGGACTACAAGTTTACGAAGAAGTTCGCCAAAGAGACCGGCGTACTTGCCATTCCACCTACAGCATTCTACTCGGAGCCACACAAGCATTTGGGAGAGGACTTCGTCAGATTTTGCTTTATCAAGGTAAATATGTTCTTATTGTGTTAAACTGTAGGTGAAGAATCCTTTGTACAAAGTTCTAAAGTAAAGAATGATTTAATTTTTTTACTTAATTAATTTGTTTTTCGACTTACTCACGTAACTGTTTGACTAGGACTCGACTAGCTACAAGCCTAGATACTCATTTATAATCAGCATTCAGCGCTGCTACTGTACATGAATATGGGCCTTTAGCATGACTTGAAAGTAGTCTAGTTTCTCTTCAAACAGCTACCTGAGCAAGCCGAAAAAAGTAATAATTAATTTAGTATTTATTAAGAATGTTGTAATATTATAAAAAAATTTTGCTTGTTTCAATGTCATATTTTCGGGAATGGAAATTGGATGATAAATCATTTGGGTGTACTATTGTTATGCCAAATGACCGTAAACTAGACATTCACGAATTTCGCAGTTCGATTCCCGAATCGTTATTGTTTTTTAAGTACCTATAAAATTCTGTCCAATACTCTTGTACCTAAGTGAAACCTGTTTTGGACATCAAAGATGGTTGATTATTGTGTACTCTAATTCAAATGTGTAAATGACTTTTTACAGAAAGACGAAAACTTATGCCTGGCGAAGAAACTTATCACGGAATGGAATGTTAAGAAGAGCAACTAAATAATTTTATATAAATATTGTGAATTGTGATATATTATGACTACTATTACATTGTAATAGCTATATATTTTTATACATTGTTACTGCCATCTCAAATATATTTCTCTGTTTTTATATTTTATTTTTGCTTTTAAACTAAATTAAGCTGAATCAAACAAATTTTGTCTACAAAGAGACTTGATGTCCAGTTAATATTGTCTAAGTTATTGTTTATTATTAAAAGAAAGAATCCAAGCGTTAAAATCTTGTTTTATTCAAATCAAAAATTTGATCGTCTCAAAATAGTATAACTTCTGATTTGAACCGTATTGCTAGTACAATAAGCTTCATTGTTGATTGTTGATCATACGTTACTGAAATTGATGGTTTACGAGGTGAAATCTCCACGAAGCCACCGTTTGGCGTCTCTTGTGTCATTCCCGTAGGTTTTCCCAAACCTGGAAATAAAAATGACAGGAATAAATACATAGTCAATTCTATATTAGCCTGTACTAAGATGAATCGTTTAAAATATATACTCGAAAATATCTGGGATAATTAGACTTTTTACTGAATCTAGAAAAGATTGAAAATACGACAAGTCAGTCAAAACATCTTCTCAAAATAAATAAATATGCGTACCTTCACGAGCGGTACGATTTTGACGCGTTTAACCTGATACAGATTACACCTACAAATAAAAAGTGCTGCTGAACTTGTATAGACGTCATACTCAGTATGTATTTAGTATACTTAATAAAAAAAATCGACCTAACAACAACAACAGCAACAAGGAATAAAGCTGACCTTCGTCGAAAAGCGTTATAATAAGGATTTTTTTAATCTGGCAACGTTAGTAATGTCGGTTACACCTACAAGATTAAGGGCCCTAGCGTGGTTCGAAATTAGTCGAGGAATCTCTGAATTCAATCAAATTATACAATTACATGAAGTAGCTAGATAAGACCATGTTCCCATTACCTGAACATGCACCCAGGAACGTGACCGGCGTAGTTTGGCAGCATACCGACGTGCTTGTGGTAGATTTCCGTCGGGTTTATTGACAGCGGCGGGTCCGGTCTGTAAGGTTAGGATAAGGATGGGTGGTATGTTCGAGACTATTTCAGATTCCTTAGAGGTTTAGGATAAAAGACGGTTTAATACTTGTATTAGATTTCATAAAAATCGCATTTTTTTACTTGTTTAGTTTTGCTTTATTGCAAATAGGTTACAAAGTAACACTTTTACACGTCAATCTTTAAATTACTAGATGAGGGCCAGCATTTCCTAACTGACTACTCTGAGAAGAAACGCCGAAACAAACTCAGAGGTCATTGTCTCTTTTGAAGTCCAGACAGATTATAACTATAATGTGCGAGACCCGTGCAAGTTGATTCTGTAGTAGTATTTTGAAGAAAGATTCACAACAGTTTGAGCAGACCCGGGTGATTGATTACTCTTGAAACCAATCTCAATGTCAATGCAATTTCAATCCAATAAAATTCTCAATAATTATTCAATGTCAAAACTATAACCATAATCGTAGCTGTTAAAATAATTAGATTAAATTAGAGTACGGAATATAAAGCCAAACTCAATACCATTTAGTTCATGCAACATCCACGCAATACGGATGCAATGGGCACTGGTGTTGCAAGACGAGAATTTCATACTCTCGTCTTGCAACACAACACATTTTACAGAACCAATGTCGATCGATCGGAATTGAATTCAAGAGTAAGCCCCCTGTTCTGATGGATTCATTAATGGATGATTTTACCCTATATCTTCTTAATCAGACATTAAGTAGGTACTCAGTATCTCTCCTACTTTTCTATGTTAACCCATTTCTTACTTACCAAATACATCTGCATTAAAGCTGGAAAATAACATAAAAAAAATAAAACAATTTTTTTTAACTTCACCGTAATATATTAAGTAAAGTACATTCTTATTAATAAATCATAATATACTTATAGTACATATGTTTATTTACTATCACATAAGCATTTTGACCATATATGGTCCTTCGAGATGATATCCAATCTTTGCATAATAGTTCCTGGTGCCGACTCCTGAGATCACGGCTATCTTGTCAGAGCCATGTTCTTCTTTGGCTATTCTTTCTGCTTCCTCCATGAGCAACATACCAAAACCTTGATGCTGAAACTTGGTTGGATCTCTTGCATTCACCTGGAATCGTTTTAAACTTTATTGTCATGGATATAGGGATTAAATCCTGTGTTAATTTGAATGATGTTGTAATAGGCTTATTTCCGACAAGGCTAATTCTATCTACACTTATCATCTACGTAATAATATAGCAAAAAGATATTTTTCTAGAATTTAGCGTCAAATAGCAAACTTATTCCTTAAAAATTCGAAACCTTAGCTCATCGTCACATCAATAGGGTAGATGACTAATTTTTATTTTAATGTCCGCCTAGTAGATTATTTAAAAATATACACAAATTTTTAATTTTTTTACGGAAATGAATAATTTCGAAGATATATTGATTTGTAATGTCGCGTGACGTCATTTCTATGTACATTTTATACTTTGATTCGTTATATCTAAGTAACATTTTATGATACAACAAAATAAAAAAATACGTGTCTAATATTTTTTCATTATCTAACTGACGGACTAATAACATTTTTAATTTTCATACCCTGTCATCATCCCTATTAATGAAATGTGATTGTGATATGGCATAAATATCAAAAATTATAACTTACAGGCACAACAGATCCATAAACATGAAGCTCTCTAACAATACTGCACTGTTTGAAGTTAGCATTAGGTCCAGGCTTCAGCTCTGGCCTGTATGTGTCTGAGGCACACTTCCTGAGCCTCAGCAGACCAACTAAAATATCTTGGTCTGGGTCTTCATATGCTAGGAATGTCTCCCAGCCTCCGTTCGCTGTGTAGTCACGTCTTATTAGTTCTACCTGAAATTGGTATTCAATATTAGAAAACGCAAAAGGAACATTTAGTTAAAATATCACATATTTTTAATTTTTTTTTTTTTTTTGGTGAATCGAAGGCATAGAAAGACAAAGTGTTTAAACAGACATCCGGCGTCAAGGATTTTAGACCAGCTCCTTGATCACTGGTTTCCTGCCTGGATAACTACCATCTATACATAAATATGGACCCAAACATCAGTTGGCATCCTCAGATTCAAGTAATTTCGACCTTGTAGGCCTTTTGTAACAGTGAATAAATCTAGATATTTTCTTATGGAAACATAATATACTGAAAATCTTAAATAATTTGAAACAAACCTCATAAGGTCTGACTCTGTTGTGTATCTCTTGGATGCCGACCTCCCTAGTCCTGACATCCCTACAGTCTGTGCCCAAATCAGCCATGCGAGCCAGAGCCAGCTCCCTCAAGTTACCATGTTCTACACCAGACGAGACCAGAGGCATGGGAATGTCTCTTTGTACTCTGAAAAGAATAATAATTATATTTCAATTTATTTTATGAAGAAATCTTACACAGCCTATACAAGCCCAGCATAGGCAATCAATCTACACCATCGACATTGACACACTATTTTATAAAAAGAAAAATAAAATATTTTTTGCATGGCAAAGATAACTACAGTTTTTCCAAAGTAAGCTACAGTGCAAAAAGAACCTATTGTTTACCTGTAAACCCTAGTCCAAGGTGGTATCAAAGCCAATATCTTAGCGATCAGATCTACCAAGGTGGAAGGAGGGTAGCTCCTGTACCGTCCAGTCTTCCACAACTCATACAGACCAGTTCCTCGGATCACTAGAGTGGGGTATATCTTGAGACCATCAGCTCTGAATGCTGGGTTCTCAAAGAACTCAATAAACTGTTCCACATCCCTCTCAAAGTCCACATTTGGTAAATCTGGCATCATATGTGCTACAATCTGAAACCAGAAATATTATTTGGAAGAATTAATTAGGGTGTATGCAAGATGTATTAAAGTCAAAGAATATAGGGGTTCTTTTTAAGGGGGGAAAATCATGAAATGACTTCTTCCACCTGGGGGAAGAGGGAAAGGAGTGTCAAATTCTTACTGACTAAAAACCACCCCGTTTCTACTCCTGGCCTTCGAGCATGAGCCCCGGCAATCCGTTTAGTCCTCCGTAGCAAGAGGTGAAAAAACAAATCCTTTAATTGATTAAACAGTTAAGTACCACCTGATACAGATATATTAGGTGGATTTAGTAAGTAGGTAAAACATGTTGTTCCTTTTCTACTTAATTATAATACTTTACCTTGTATCCAGCATCTTTAGCAAGGTTGAAATTCTCACAAACGGCTTTAACTGTATGTCCTCTGTTTGTGTCTCTAGCAATGTCTTCATACACTGATTGAACACCAATTTCCAATCTGAAAATATTCAATCTGCATTTTAATAATTCTCACACACTAGTGCTTCTAAATTAGGAGAGTATTGATAGATGGCTGTATAACGTTGGTGCACCTGCCAAAACTGATATGTGCAAATACATATTTTGAATTTTTTTCTTTGCTACATGTCCTTCAAATTGGATGGTGCATAAATTACAAAAACAAATATGTGTTATTTCCCTCTAGAAACCAATTAGACAAAACTTATATGTTCAATTCCTGGTCTTGAGAAATAGCTTATGTGTTCAGTTGGTTATGATATCACTACATAGTATAACACAAAGTCGCTATCCACTGTCTGTCTGTTCCTATGTATGCTTAGATCTTTAAAACTATGCAACGGATTTCGATGTGGTTTTCTTTAACTCGTCGAGTACCGTATTTATAGACACAATTAAAGAACAATAGGTTGTGGTCACCGGTGACCGCTTGGTGCTTGACAGTTAATAGATACGAGTGACTCTTAAAGACGGTTTATATGTATAAAACATGCATATTGCACCCATGCGAAGCCAGAGCAGGTCACTAGTGTTACATAAAATGAACAAGTCAGAAATTGCAGCATCACATAGAAACTTTGTCAGATAGAATTTCAACGGTTTTTGTATATAATTCTTACCATTTTCTAAGATAAATTGGATATGTGCATCAGAATGGAAAAAAAAATTAATGGGGAAAATTTATTCAGTTCAGCCATCATACTGCATGTTTAAGTCCATCCATCAATCAGTGTAAGTGTAAAAAAACAGTTATTGTTTCCCTGAAAACTTGACTAAATGAACATATTAGTTTTGGTAGGTGCACGGTCGATAGGTTTTAAAACTTGGACTATGTTTTGGCACAGATACTTAACAGCTAGCTTTAACAAAACAATGTATCAATGATGGTTACCAACCTGGTGCAGCCATAATTGAGCATATCACTCATGTGTCTCTGCAGACAGTAATCAGGCCTGGTCTCAATAGTGATACCAATGCACTTGGTCTTCGCTTTCTCTGAGTACTTCACAGCTTCTGCTACACAAGTTGATGTGTGTCCTGAAAGGGCATCATGGAGATTCCTAAAACAATAAAATATCTTAGTAACTTGAATACAGAGTGCAAACTATGAAAAATCTTATTTCAAACTAATAAGATTCTATTTTGTTAATTTCAAATCATCTTACCTGATAAAATAGTCTCTGTAATCTTCAGGGAGACTCATAAAAGTACCTCCCATCACAATAAACTCAACTTTATCTACACTGTGACCGAGTTGCTTCAACTGTTCTACTCTGTGGCGCGTCTGCAAATACGGATTGTACCTGGCTCTGATTGCCCTCATAGATGTAGGCTCATATCCTGTGTAACTTTGTGTAGAGTACTCAAAGTCCGAGTCCGGACCTCCAGGACAGTATACACAAATGTTACCGGTGAAGTTTATGTGTGGACATCTATGTGGTTTACACATCACTGCGACCACGGCAATACCCGATGCAGTACGAATTGGTTTCGCCTTCAACTTCGGCAATAGGATCTTCTTAGCATCAGCCGGCACTGCGGCGATTATATCCACCAGCCTTGGTGACGTTCCCAGTCCGTACTTCGACGAAATCCTCGTTTTCATCTTGTTGAGGTTAACATCTTTGCCCTGCCGATGTGCCACTAACAACTCTTGTATTATCTCAGATATCACCATCACCATCTTCTCTTCTTTAGAGAGATTGGGCATTAGTTTCTTTTTCGCCATTTTGATATATTAATAAACTTTTTAGAAAATAAATAAATTGCGCGTGTAACCTATTTTGCTTACACAATTTCACTTTGACAGTCTTTTGACGTTGACAACTCCCTATTATACAAAACTCGTTCGGAAATTATAAAAAAAATAACGACGTAATTGACTTTCACAAAATATACATTTATTACCTATTGCTTAGTTAAAATATATTACAAATATTGCTTACTTACGACAAAAACAACAATATAGATAAATCACTTGATTTATGATTGAAAACTTACTTGACTACGTTCACTGGTGCCCATTCAGTACTTTGTCTTCGCCTGTAGTTAGATGAAAAATCACAAAGTGCAGAGTTTGTGAGCTTCTTCGACGACTCACCAAATCTTTGGAAACCGTATGGAACATGACCCGAAAATCCTATGAACAAACAGAATAAACTTATTTAATGTGCCATAACCTTCTAAAGAGCACTGGTGTTGGTAAACAACAAAACATGCGTTATGAACTCACGCACTGATTGCGAAGGATTAAACCCCCATATTTGATTTCGCACGAATGAAGCGTGTAGTTTTCCGTAAGACATTTAAATCTAAAACGTATGCGGTTTTCATAACAAAACAAAAAATATTTACACGATTACTTATTGACACAGGTAGGTAAACATTCACGTTGTCATGGATTCAAAAAATCCTTAAAAAAGTTTTTACGTAGAGTCTTCAAGTAAAAAGTATTGTCGGTTTATTGCTACCCTCACCTTTCTTGATATATTTTTCAGGATGACCGTTTTCCAAGAAGTATGGACTAACAGAATGTGATGCTGGTGACAGTTTTGGTTCATCCATTGGTACGTCACGTAATATTCCTGCACATTCTGGTCGCACAGTGACTAATGGGAGCTTGAACTCGGCTGTTGCGGACTGTGGATTTCAAAAACATTTAGTACTTAGGTATCAAAATCAATTTCAAATGGAAACTCTTCTTTTGTGTCCTTTCATTCTTCTTTCTTCATTCATCTCCATTCACGTTTGTCCTTACTTTATTTGTCCATCTGTTTATTGTCTCAACGTTCTTTCCAAAAAAATTGTAAAAGAAATCCACTCCATTTGCAAAATACTGCATGAAACTTACGAATCTATCGAGCAGGTCCCAAGGTTGTCCTTTCCCGGCTTGCAAGTCGACCACTCTTTCTAACTGGTTCCTTGCTGCTCTCTGGTTGAGTTGAACCCTTTGAAATTCTGACAGCGCTTCTGTCGCAGCGACAGTGTACCGCTGTCCAAAGTGGTTATTCAATCGTGGGAGGAACCCTATATCATTCCAATTTTTATTAGAACTTAACATTATCCATTAGTCAAAAAAAGTAATGGGTCCGTCTTTTGAATATTACGGGCATCCAAAAAGAAAATTGCTATATTGGTTCCAGAATAAATAAACACAATTCTTCTCAGGAATCAACTGAATTGATGTTGCAAACAAAACGTTAAATGTAAGTGTGATTATCTCCACAAATCTTACTGCACCTATTTTCTATAGCTATTATCTAGAAGATAAATCCATAAAGATCACTCCACTGTCCTATCTACGCACAACAAAATAGTAAATAAAACACAGTCCGTTAGTTTCTCGAATAGTGGTCACAAAACAAGTGCCCGCTCGCCATCTGATACTGTGACATAACTAGAACAACGATTGATAAAGAACGAGTAGGTACCGTTTTATTCGAAGATTATGCACATATTTTATACGCCTTAGATTTTATAACATAACGCACTGGAGGCAACACTCAACGTTTTCCGTTTCAAGAAAAATCGTTGATCTTGTCCTCTTATATCCTTTGGCCATTGCTTCCATGTGTGCGACTTTTGTGCAAGTCCGCGTGCAGTTTTCTCGTAGGCACTCATTTTAAATGTGTGCGTTAAATTCGCTCACACACGTAATTACCTCGACCCTTAATAAAGGTCGATTAAAAAATGTCTAGGCTACAGGACGCCGTTTCCAGTCAATAATACGATCTAGTCTATGCTCTGAAATATCGCGTGAGTTTTGAGGCCAACGGACATCTGTTTAGAACATTCATCGCGATAAATAAGGCAGTTGTCTCGCAGGAAATATCAAACGATCACTTTTTATGTTCGTTTATACTTCATCATAATGTATGAAATCTAGATCAGCTTTGAATGATTTAGAGCCGATCTGATGTATTTCTATTGCATTCCTATTATGTTAAACGGGTCTTTCGAATCTTTTAGAGAATAGGAACCACATGGATGACTGATGCCGATTGTTAACATGCTTTTAATTTATAGATTTATGGACGTTTTTGTATGGGTAATACGTAAAAGCCGGTTTCAAAAGAAATGGTCAATAAATGATAGCAATAACACTCACGCCTATTTACTTTAAATATTGCTTAACACCATCACTGCAGTACATAATCAACGCGCAAACAATCTAACAGCCGAATCAGCAATAAATACTATCTGACAATGTATATGCAAATTCTGTGTAAATTAATAGCCACCACAAACTGCCTACGTAAATAGTGCAAGCATTCAACTGTAGGGTTTAAGGTGCACTAACAACGCTGAATGGTGCGAAAACTAGAACTGAGGGACCCTTTATTTTAATGACCAAAGTTTCACACCAGCAGAACTGAGAATGTACCAAGTAGCAAGGGTAAAGCAGAGTCGATACTTAGAAAACAACAGATTCATTAGGAAAATGAAAACCAGTTGTAAAACGAGTGATTGATAGAGAGTTTTAACTGCCTACCTAATTATTTATGACCTTATTTATGATTATCACATGGAAACAGTAGCTTTTTAAATATGCATATTGTGTAGGTGTGGAGCTTGGGATGTCATCTACTCTACACTTTACAATGTTAGTATGATTGACCTTGATTTAAACATATCAACATTCCATTGTCAGAAGACACCAATGTGTGTTAGTAAGACTAACCAGTGTAGTAGATAGCGTCATCCCTCGACATGTTTCCACCCTCGAGACAATGCCACAGGATCATTTTTGAAAGGTCCCTTCTTCTAAATAAATAGTTAAATCTGTTTAACGACAGAATTTTCTAGACGTTTACCCATTTTACTCCATATCAGTGCTTAGATAAACCGCTCAGTAGAGTGTTGCCCTTAAACAATTACTCACACCTACGTAACTGCGGTCAAGTCATGCTAAATGTTACTAGGATATGACCATAAATGAACGTTAGCCAAACACCCCCGCGGTTCACTGTTTACACCATAGGGAACTCAATTTCTCTATTTGGGAATTGAGAATGGAACGAAAGGACTGTCTATGTCTCTGTCTAACAAGAACTGTCTATTTATATAGGTTCGTGACAAATACATATTTGGAACAAAGGACCATAATAAAGCAATTAGGACGGGCATGACATTCTTTATCTACAAGAACAAAGAAAAAATTAAAACAACCCAACTTAAAACATTGACCACAATATCTATCTACAAATTCTGATCAACAACGGTATTATTGTTATATCTGATTGTATTTTTTGCTGTTTCCACAAACAAAGCCACATTAATAGATTTCCCATCAATTTTCTTTAACGAAGTTTTTGTACCCTTTTGTCACGTGCTTCTATTAAAAGCTCTGAATCTGTTACAGATAATTCTCTCTCTTGGCCTCTTTTATTAAGACGGTTTGTCTCGAAGTTGAACGAAATCATAAATACCCCTAATAACAAATAAATTGGCCCCAAGATGCGCCTAGGGAACGCCGTAGTAAAAAATGAAAAAAGGTGATACTGCTAATATCAAGATAACCAAAAAGAATTAATGCTAGTCTTAGAAAAAGGATCGACCACTTTACTGTCTAAAGCATGGGGTAATATAATCAGTTAAGAATAGTTACACATCCATAGATGAACCACGACAAGTGTAGCTCAAGTTGACCATTAAGAGGTTGGTAAGTTGGGCAAAGCCGTAAAGGCTAACACTTAAAGCTACCAAGGTACTGTCGACAATAAACAGCTCGGTGAAATTGTGCGCAATTCTAACAGTAATTTGTAAATGTAAACATCTGTAGGCCCGAGGGTCTCAGGAAACGTTGGCATGCCTCGCAGTCTCGGACCGGTCGCTAGTGACTCATGCGCACTCCTGACTCATCGAGATCAACTTAATCTTCGACAAATTCTTACAAGTTTTCACTTTATTTATTTCATTTTAATAGCAAGTTTTTTATGAAATGTTTCAATTTCCTTTAGCTTGGTAAACCGTTTTAAATTGACTATAATATTTTTAAGTATGACTTTTACTTTGTTTTGGCTGATGACATTGGCGCTGGCGGTGAAAAAGCTTTGTGATCATCCTCAAGGTACAGAAAATAAGAGGGCGCAAGCCCTAAATAAAAAATTATCTTTACTTCTTTGTTCCTTTATCCTTTAAATAGCAAAGTATACATACCTTCATACCCTGGTATCATAGGATGCTTGTAGACTGGATCCCCATTGCGAAACCTTGCGTTAACCACATCGATGTCTGTTTGTGGTGGTCGGTAGATCTGTTTCGATATAATTTTGGTAAATAATTTGCGGTAACTGATTCATCGGGTGGAGTAGCTAGGTAGATAACAATTAATCGTTTAATAAAATGGGAAATAGTTGAAGTATGCTAATTTTGAACATCGACTGAGTTAAGCCTGAATTTGCATTTTATATGCTACTAGCTTTTACCCGCGGTTGCGCTCGCGTCACAAAAGGATAAAAAGTAACCTTTGTGACATATATCAATACGCACAGCGCCATCTATACCAATACTTTTGTTTTCCCTCGGGAATATCTTTTTTCCGGGATAAAAAGTACCCTATTATCTAATCCGGACTTCTAACTATACATCTGCAAAAATTCAAAGCAATCGGTTCAGTAGTTACGGCGTTAAAGTGGAACAAACAAACAAAAAAACTCACTTTCCGATTTATAATATAAGTAAGGAAGTAAGGATTAAAAATCTTTCGGAGAATATGACAGACATAGAAAAGGACAAGCGACAGATTCGATATAAATGTGACTGTGTTAATAAGCTATATTTAGTAAAAGAACTTATATTTAAGGAAAGTGCCATTGAGCTGCCGTTTTATTGATTTGGTTAATAATAAACCCATACGATATGGCTATGGCCTTTACATGAGTCGAATAAATAAACAGATTAGATACACCCACACTAACTAGCAGTGGTAAATTATAATGATAACGGATTAAGTAGGGTTAATTGAAAAAGTCACGTTGACTCCACGTGTGTTTAACTATTTATCTGATCAATAGGTTTATCTTCTGTACCTAGAACACGAGTTCCTCCTTTCGAAATTGTAACTATCTACTAACTGAAGTTATTTTATATAAAAAGATCTTATTTGTCTATCTAATTTGTTTCACTGACGGACAGACTGAGGATAAAATTTACTTTGTTTTTTCTTTTTTTTAACCTATGTCTTCTTCTAAATAGTGCACTCTTGATAGAGTGATCTTGTTCATGTTTCGTCCTTAGTGGCTGCCCTCCTCTCCACTTTTTCCTATTTGTAGCATTCTAAATAGTACTACTACAAATAAAACTATGTAGTTACCTCCTATTTAATTTCTTAGCCCTATTTGAGACAGAACACCAACCTGGAAGTCATCAGCAGTTCTGTCAGACAGTACAAGCCTCTCGGAGTGCTGTACGCTGGGGTCCAGGAGGATCTTGTGAGTTGTGGACCCATAGGTGTTGCCTATGCGATACTTGTACTCGGGGCAGTGACCGGTGTACCTGTGTATGAAGATAAAGGGGGTTTTTTAAAAAAAAATCATTGATGAGATGAATTGGACTACCTTTAACTCGTCGAGTACCGTATTTATAGACACAATTAAAGAACAATAGGTTGCGGTCACCGGTGACCGCTTGGTGTTTGACAGTTTAAAGAGTTAAATAAAATTTAGTACAATAATGCCTGAGTAATAATTGAATCCTAACTGGGTTATTAGGTTTCTACAATCAATTTCACAGCACATAAAACCTTACAAATTAATAGAGGGCACGTAACTTTACCTTTGCCAAGCCCTACATATAGATATGTCGAAAACGATCGTTTACGAAAACTTCACGCGTTGTAAATACATAATAAATGAAATCATTTATCATATTCGGACACGCAGTCCAACGCAATGCCCTAAATACATTGTCAACAGACGTACAACACAACAGGAATTACATAACACAACAGTCCTTATAAGTAAATTCGAACAAACGAACTCGGAGTTCATCAATAAAATACATTTGTAACGCTCTCCTGACATTGTGAATTATGTGGCGTCAAAAGTAACCACCATTACATAATTGGCGCCAATTTTGCATGTTTCAATAATGACAAAATGGCGCTGGAGTTTTAATTTCGTCATGCAAATGCTCCGTGGTTTATTCCTGGCGACATGAGCCCTTTTTGGGCTCTTAATCTTAATAATAAATGATACTAAGTGCAACCGTAAATTATAATGTTCAAATATGGTCATGAGACATTGAATTCTTGTTGCTTGGTGGTTAAAGCTGTGTAGAACTTGAATTTATGCAGTTACAAGTACAATTATGAAACGTTTACATTATTTTTAAATCAATTAATCGAATATTACTGTACAAACATAACATAATACGTTTTTATTCAACTAGTTATTAAATGTGAGACCCACTTTCCAACAATTATGAGTCCTGTAATCCGTATACCTAATACCAATTACCGTATGTGATTCCCATATAACCCTGGCTTCTACATAGAGGGTACACCGAGGTAGTTCTTATTTACTGTGAAACTGACAGGTACCTTCGTCTTTCCCAGACAAAGAACTCCAGGACGATATTCAAAACACGCCAAAAGGCTTATTGGTAATAACTATGAAAATCAGGCTCCATTCCCGACTTCTTGCTAGTACTGGGGATTTCTATGTAGGTAAAAAACATCATTTTCAATGTATACAATCAAGGCACTGGACTAACCCAGGTATGTAGTGCGGTTGGGCAATGCTGACTAAATCCAGCGCCATTTCTAGTTATTTCTTGCAAAGCCGGAAAAGGATCAACTCATAATTTGCATAAAAAAAATTGTTAATTATTATTAAACTCTTGAATTTATTGAACACCACACATTTGTTGATTTTGACGTAAAACTTTGACGTGACTGCATTTGTTGTTTTAATTGAATTAATGGCTCAAGTGAACGGTTTGTTAGTGTGACTTTTCAAAGATCTTAATCTTCCTGTAACACAACCTTTTTGTTTCAAAGTTATCTAAACGTTCTGAAAGTTGTTTAACGTTCAACTGTGTAGGTAAATACTGCGACTACAAATAACGTTCCATATGATTACAGGAATATTAATACGGGTTACTAACGATAATCAGTTACTAATGCGACATCGACAGTACCTAATATACCGTTAAAGATAACGAACAGAGACCCCTAAAACCTTAAAAATAATCAGCTTCTTTGGTTTGAGGTATTTGAAAAAAACCGGACGTAAAGTCACTTAGAAAAAATGATTGAAGCACCAAAATATCAGTGGTGTATCTATGTGTGCGGGCCATGTCAGGCGAAAGATGTCCTTCGTGTTAATGTTGAGTATTCTGCGTGTAAGAATACCTACTATAGTACCCAGGTGCCACAGTCGTAGTTTCAAGAGACTATGTCCGCCTTTTTTTAAACGTCCTTGTATGAGGTATGATATGTGTTACGTGATACATTGCTAAATACATCTAGATTTTCGTGTTATACAATTCACACAATTCTGTTTACCGTAATGAAATCAGATTAGGAAACAATGCAGTGGAAGGAAATTATTTTCATTGCAAAACAATAGACAGTGACTGTGTTATCATTATAAGGAAATGTGTTTATTGAATTAATTTGGATGCAGGAAGTTTAATAATATCCAAAAATCATTTTCTTGAATAAATGCATTACGTACTTCAAGAAATACAAAACAAAATTGTTCATTCGGTGCCTGCTCAAGCGCAGACGAATCATCACACGATCACGAAGCCTTCGGAGTTCGGACTTCATCGGTCATCGTTCGTACTCTTTCGCAATCCATTCGCTCAGCCGCCATTCTTTCGTTCGGTCGGTCGGCCGGGCGCCATATTGAATGTAACCGCCGCCGCGGTCGGGCGTGTTTGGTGGCGCTCCGCACAGTGACAGACGGGAAACGATGAAATCATAACTTTCAAAAACTTTTGTGTTTACAAAGTGTTCAATTTAACATAATAATTTCAATGAACTGTGAAGTGTTCTTACATATTTACCAACATACATTGAAGTTTCGTTATTTATAACTGATCCAGCGACTTGAAATGCATGCATTCCATCGAGACTGTTGAACTTTTATATTTTTTTTTCGTTCAGTGTACATTTTGATTCTTATCAAGATTTTTTTTATTGTCATTCACCGTGAACTATGGTTTTGTATATTTGGACATTAGATCACATATAAATTATATATCTACAGTGTTATGTGTTGATTAGACTGTGTTATCAAAGTTAGCAGTTAGCAGATTAGTGATTGCCGAAACACTCAAGGTAAATCTAAAAACATTATTTACTAAGTAACATAAACAATATAGATTTAAGGAACCAACCGAACTAATAACTACCCCAAAACAAACGCTGCAAACATCTTAGGTACCTATCTCTAAATCCTTCCACAGATAAAACCGTCAACGACTACAGAAATTCAAATTATCCGTCTAATTAATTTAATTCACAATCCAAGAGATTGCTAGTCTGAACCGTGACCCACTTTACTTCAAATTTTCACTTCTCATGAGTGTTTACTTACAGTCACTTGAGCTGAGACCAGTAGACACACCTACTGATGATCAATCAATATATCTGTTCACTTTAATTATTTTAATATAGAAACACTGTTACAGCTATAAAAGTTTTATATAAATCACTACCTGTTTAAGCCGGTCATCTTAGAACCTCGATTTTTATTCAAATCGGCCTGATTGCAATCAGTTATAGGTAACTTAACACATATAAGGAAAAAAATCAGAAATGCGAGGTAATGGGGGATTAACTACTGATCATCTATTTACAGCGAAGTTTTGCGTATGAACCGAATCAAAGGAAGAGGGTATTTACAAAATACGCAAGAGTTATAAGTAATCTTTCTGAAGAAATATCGGGCAATGTTTATTAACAGTTAACAGATTCGATATCCATAACACCAGAAAATGAAATTTGAGCGATTTAAAAACACGGCAATCAATCAAAAGTCGGAGAAGACACCGAAAAGTAGACAACTATTGAAATGTATGAAGTTCTCTTTGACTAAATATTATTTACAAAATACGAAAAGGAGACGTAATCGTAAACGTTGCGATTGTGGATCATTGCGACGTTGAAGATAAATTCTTGTAAGGCACTCTTTTTAGATAATATCTAGGCTATCAGTTTCGTCACAAAAGACGATGTACAAATCAGATGGCATGCGAGTCTGTGGCAACATATTGGCATAAATATTTAATTTGACACACAAATATGTCAAAGATTTTCGTGAATTTTATCTTATTTCGTTTCTGTGTCAGTTTCGTATCTTGCTAGTTTACTTCGAAATTACAAAATGCTGCGACGAATAACGCGACATTGAGCTAAATACTTCTCTTCAACAATAAATCAAACTAACGATCGATGTAACTGCAAAATTAATTGATTTCGTCAACAACGTTCTGCCAATTATCATTTTTTATTACTTAGTTAGCCATTTTTGATACCCAGGAAGTAATAAAGAATATAAGTGAACGGTCTGAAGAAAGGCCGCTCTTGAAATAGCCGATTCGTACGATATAAAAGGTGAAAATTGTTAGACCTTAACATATTATAATTGCCGTTACCCCTCCAATATGAGACAACGCGTTACCAAACAATGAAACAGGCTCCCATTCAGTCTTTAAGTAAAACGTTCCAAAGGAATCCTGTTTCGTAGCCGGGAGAAACAAAACCCCGGGACGGCATCGTGGCGACGTCCATACAAACATGGGTGACAATCACCAACAAACGTATTTGAACCTCACCGCCTTCTAAATAAAGTACAAGATGTGACTAACAACCAACTCACCATCCCGCAAATCGCATTCTAGAGACTAGACGCTCCTTTGTTTTTGTTATTAGATTTCTATATGCTGCAAATACTTATTGAACATTTGTCCAAACCACTTTCCAGCTATCAACCGCGATCATTTAAAAGTCAGCTTCATCTTTTATCTTCGAAATAGATTGCTTTAAGATTAAAAACGGAAAGTATTCGACGTCGCGTCGTTTAATTCAAATTGACTGTTAATAACGAAACTCAATTAGTGTTGATGTTGATAGTCGTGTAATATAAACATAGGTCTTTTTTCATAAGCATAGAGCACATAATCGTTCAGAAATAGTTTTCCGCGTCCCAGCAAGTTTTGGAGCAGACCGGTTTAGAGGAAGTCTCCGAGCGGCGGTTTGCGAGGTTAAAAAAACTGGCTAAGTTTGAATTTGTGCCTTTTGGGGGCTTTGCATCCTCAACAAAAACGTGACCAACGATAATTCAAGCATGTATAGTGCAGAAAACTAGTTGGCGTTAAAACGTTAAGTGTGATTAATATTGGACAATCTTCCATTAAAGATTCTTTTTATTACTAAGATATACCGGTCAAAACAGTCAGTAACGAGTACGGAACTCTAAAAAGAAGACCCGTGTCGGCTGATATTCGAGGTCGCAACCCAATTGGGGACCAGTCGCAGGTACGCTTTTGTAGTACACTTTCTCCCGTGCGTGACGCGCCCAGCCAGACATTTCACTGAGCACCGTCTGCAGGTGCACAAGCACAGACCACTCAATGATAAACATGCGAATTTTATGATTTGCGAATCATTAAATGATTCGCTAAAGTTACACTTTCACCCAAGAATAGGGGTGCAAAAAATCAAAGGTAAAATTGCGATTAATTGCGGCACCTTCTTAAAAGTTGCACTCTAGCGATATTTGGAAACAATGTTGACACCGAACAAGTCACCGGTGTCAATGTGTGTCTGAAATAAAAGAGACAGTATATGTCTTGTTAGAAGTAGGTTTTGGGAACAACATTCTAGACCACAGACGTCGCGTCGTACGTATTCAAAGATGACATTTTTAAAATATCATTAACCCCTAACGTCTATGATTCCTGCATTCCTCTTCACAGGAAAGGAACGCCATTAGTGCAGAATAAAACACGTGTTGCCGTGCGTTTACAGACATCCTGTGATTACTAGATGGTACGTTAATGATGAGAATCACATAAAAACTAGTCCAGCGACCGAGGAACAATTGTCTACGTAACCACTTGATCATACTTTCGTTCGTAAAACTGTGCGCTAACACGAACACTCGTAACTTGAAACCGATGAAGTATTCGAGAAGCGATTTGGGCAATCAATTATAAAGATTCCAATAGAAATCGTTATTTAAATTCGCTACGACTCGTTAACAAACAATTATATCGACATGGTGACGAGTTTCTGACATCACTTTGGGAAATAACTAAAGAAATATTATTAGTTGTGGAATTTCAAAAACAATAACGGTTACCTCAGCAGTCAATTTGTGGTGAATGTCTGAATATCAGATGGATTGCTTAGCTGTGTAAAGTTTGTTGCTATGACTCACATTATTATAATGCAGATTTTCTTCAGTCACGGCTCGTGTCTTTCATGTGTGTTCATTATCATTTTAAAGAGTTCAGTAACATGTTCCGACAATGGCTAACCATGTGTAACTGGAATATGTATTTTACGAGTATTCTGCTCGTTACTTTATCTCCTGTCGGCTGCCTAGTTGGGTTTCTATTAGTTAGTCGCGCACCCGGGATCACGACGTTGTAAATTCGATTCCTAGTTTACCTTTTGTGAAGTGAAACTGGGATTATTAGTCTAGAAACGCTCCCGCTTCTTCCGTCACGTACAGAGCTAAGCTTAGGATAGTTGCTACCACAGAACATATAAAGGAGGTTGCTACAATTAATCAGAATACACTGCAATAAATTCAAAACCTATTCAAGATCTCAAGCGTACAATAAAAGGTTGATGTCTCATCATAAAAAAGAGGACGACATCTGCAACATTTTTATAAACAAACCAATCAACATGAACCCAACCAGAAACAAGCACAGACCTGTCGGTAACTGAACAATATGGAAGTCAAAACAAATGCAATCGTTCCAAGAAGAGTAAATTCCACTGACATTCTGTTAAACATCTGTTCTCTTAACAAAACCTTATCAATGGGATGTTCTCATTAACCTGGACTAATAATGAAGATACGGGAAACACTATTGTCTTCTTCAAAACAACTTATTTACAGCTTCTTTTTAACCAACTACGATGATGCAAAAAGGGCTATATGGTCACCATCACAATAGGCACGTTATCTGTTTTCGAACAATACTTGGGATTTTACAATAGCCTTCGATCGCTCGTGTAATATTTGACACCGTCTTATCTTTTGGTGATAATGGGTATTTTTGTGGAGTGTCGGGATATCCTTAAATACGTCCGTTTGTTGTGGTTATAGTTGAATATTTGACGTAAGAATAAGAACTGAGCGGAGAAAGGGGAAGGATTCTATTTCCTAAAACAGAATAGATAGTTGTTTTTATAGATTTTCCGTTTGTCTGGTTATTGTATTCATTATTAAATGTCATTGACGAAATCTCTAACCTGTTGCAGATACTTAAGCTTAACCTACTCACATTAATACCAAACGAAGGTATAACCAAGTTTATTTTTAAAACCTCTTCGTCGAACCTAAAGTTCTTTTCCATTTGAATTATATCTAGATCTTATATAATCTCGATTACCACAAAAAACTCGTAATTTCGTTCATGACTTCCATATTGCAAAAAAGCTGATTCACTCTTCGCTACAATTTCATTCTTAGATGCGCATGCGCATATCCAGTACAAATATGAAGCAATGTTTTAAAAGTACTTCATTCACTGTGTCTTTATACGAGGTAGGCTCTATAATTACGGTGTTGCAATTAGGGACCAGGCAGTGTTGCAAGGGTATGGCACATTATGGCAGTTTATATTACATACACTTACTATATTATTATAATTGGTGTTGATGTTTAGAAATTTTAGTTTTATTGCCCTTGAAACTATTAAAACATGTTATGACATAACATGACGCTTATGGGTTTAATTTGGTCTTTAGTGCATACTAGCACAAATTCAAATATGTTGTTGGGATTCTAAACTAAATAAGTACTGAGAATCAACCTAATGACGAAATTCAAGCTTAATGTTATAATTTTATATTTTGTCAATCTTACTTCGTACTATTTAAACTAAACAACATCTACAATTAAAAACAATGCGTTAGAAATTCCTTGTTACTTAAAACAAAGCTGTTTTCAATAACTGCACGCACAAACAGACAGTTGTACAACTACGCACTCCTACGCATACCACGTCATGGTAGTAGACACGGCTCTAATCATATCAACCTGTATATAACACGTATTGTGCAACATACTGTATCAATAATAACAAAACAAAAGC